CAGATTTTGTGCCAAACATATTTTATTGCTCTCTTTTATGTTTTAAATTCTGCAGTTTTTAATAACAGATATTTCTCAAAAGAAATGTGTAAAAGTTGTAGCTTTAAAGAGCACACTTCAATGACTGTTAGAGCTATTGCAATGGCTACTGATCTGGGAAAGTCAAGGGTTTCAAGGATTATTCAAGTCCACATTGAAACAGAATTAGTCTCACCAAAGTTGAAAGGAAAATGAGGTCAAAATAAAAAGACCAATTCCAAGAATTGACACTATTGCTGCAAAACAGCCTAACTAATCATCAGAAAATAAGCTTACATTTGACGAAGGACCTGGAAGCTGGGGAAAGTTGATTTCTCTACAGTGGCACACAGGGAAAAATGGGAGGGAGTGGAAGGAAAATCTAACTTGCTATAAAGAAATAATGCTTGTCATGGACAAGATAATACAGAAACAAAATACTAAAGAATAGAAAAAGATAATTTTAACTGATAATAGCTAATTATTATATACAGCTTCAGGGTTTACAGACCACTTCACTTATATTATTTTAATCAAGTAACAAAACTCACTTTTCCATTCAAGTTTATAGACACCAAAATTGTTGTCAGAATTCCAAGCAAGCCTAGAAGACACAGGCATCTTCATCAGACTGTAAAATACCCATAAAAATAATGTGAGAATTCCAGTGGACCTGGAAGTCTTGTTCCCCTTGTGGGAATGATTAACTCCATTAAATACACAGATGCATAATTGTCTTGGACTTACAAAAATTTTCAAATGGAGATGGGATATAACAACACTCCACTGCACCATGCCATATTTTAGGAAAAGTTAAGCAAGCCTTAGAGGAAATGGAAATTACACATGATTCACTGGCCTATAAAGTCACCTTGTTTAAAGCCTGTTAAAAAAACCTATAGATTATAATCAAGGTTAGGTCGGGAAAAATGGACTCTCTTTTAAAGGAACACAGTATCCAATGTGACAGAAGTAAAGTATAAAGATAAAGAACTTAAAAATATGTCAAAAAATCTTGTAAACTAAATAAATTGTGTAAAACAAATGATTACAGTGAAAGGATATAATTCATATTAAAAGATGTTTTGAAGATGTACAAAAATGTAAGGTTGCGTATGTTAAAATTTAGAACTCAAAAGTCAATAAACTTTAGTTTGTCTCAGTCAATCTGCACACCAAACTTGCATTTATAAAGGGTTTAAAGTTTTCAAAGTGCTTTACATACCCCCATTTGCTCCTCAGAACAACTCTATGAGACAAGTACTGCAGGTATAAGTGGACTACAAATGAGTTCACTTTGTGGACATAGAAACTAAGGTTCTAAGAAGTAAAATGGGTGCCTCTGGTCACAGTGCTCCTAAGTGTCAGAGGAAGGATCTGAATGCATATCTTTGTGACTCCCAGTCTAAGACCAAGGACTCACATCAATACTGCACTGCCGTAGTTTTGGGGTTTGTTTGTTTTTTTAACAGAAAACCATAATTGAATTTAAACTAGGTTTCTCTGTCTACCTGTACATCTTCAATATTCAGTAAGTTACAATGTCATATAAAACTATTCTTAAAAATAGACACTATATCAGTAAAAGAAATTCTGGAATGTGGAAGACAAATCCACATTGTTTTCCTTTCTTTGGTTAGACTGACAAATTTCTCCCATTTTCCTATGGAGCAGCAAACAGATCCTCTCCGTTCCTCATTGTGTAGCACATGGCCCCAGTCTCAAGGGATTCAGGCTGCATATGCTGATGACTTACTGAAGTAAGTGCTTCAGGAAAAACAGGTAACAGCAAGCAGCTACCTTGGAGAGAAGTCAATTTATTCTGCTTTACATGGCATAACAAATGCACATATTCCATCTCCCAAAACTATTATAATGCCTGAGTCTCTTGTGTTTTAAGATTATAACCAAAAAGAAAAAAAACCCAAACCCTACAGTGTGAAGAAAATCTTTATTAGTGTATATAATAACCAGCATGTCTCCAGCAGAATAAGAAAAGACTTACTCCCTTCCTACACAGCCATTACTGACAGTAGTTACTGAAAAGCAAGAAAGAATTTCCTTGTTTTGGACATCTTTCCCTAAAATCACCCACAGAACAAGGCCTTAGCATTAGCCCAGATTACTAGCACAATTAATATGTCATGGTCACAGCATTAAGAACCACCAGAGAAGACTCATATGAATTAATGTATAATGAAATAAGAAGGAACAAAACAACAACATATTCAGTGACCCCAGTAATGCACAGCAAAACGCTAAAAAACAACTGAACTCAGATCAATGCAGTTACCAAGAGACTGATGGTGAACTGTACCTCCATGTTCTCAGTAGAGAGGTGCTGAATTATAGATGCATATGCTAGAGCACATGTTGTCAGATATTAACAACAATAATAATAACATTTCTATAGCACATTAAGATTTGCAAAGCAATTTAACAAATTATTATCTCATTTTTATCATTTTTGTTTGGCTTAATAATACTTTTTGTTACAAGTGAGGGTCATTTGCTGGAAATGACAGCAACCACACACTCAGATTATTTTTTATTTGCCCCAGAAAAAAAATAAAGCAAGAGAATGATGAATTTTATTAATTTCACTACCTAGGCTAATATTTCGAGATTCACAATTTCAACAATGCAGCTACTCCTATCATCAATATAGATGACAACTAAGTAAACCAAGAGACAATTATGATAATTAATAGTAATAGGTAACATTTACGTAACACTTACCACGTGCCAGGCACTGCGCTAAGTGCTTTACAAATATTGTTTCATTTGATCCTCACAACAACCCTGGGAGGTAGGGAGCTAATATTATCCCCCTTTTATAGTAGAATAAACTAAGATAAACAAAGGTTAAGTGACTTGTCTAGGGTCACTCAGCTAATAAATCAGAAGCTGGATTTCAGCTCAGGCCTCTCTCACTCTAGGTCCTGCACTACGTCCCCTCTACCACCTAGCTGTCCCATGAAAAGATATTCTTTATGAACTGCTGTAGCCAAAAAATACTCATCATCTCTTGACTAACCTTCTAGAAATAAGGTTACCTGAAAGAAGCCAGGCTGTTCTTTGGATAAAAAACAGGGCCAAGGCTATACCTGAAACTCATCCATTTTGGTAGGACCTACCAGAACCTTCAAGACTCCAAGACCTTTTAAGAACTAACAGTCATGTCCAAAATATTATCAGAAGGCCCTGGTGGGGGATGGAGGTGGGAAGGAGAGATAGAGAGAGATAGAGAAAGATGCAGACAGATACATATGTATGTAATTATATACATAAATACATCCATTACATATATTAGACAAAAATATCTCTGAAGCTTACTACCCATGAAATGTTGGCAAGTTACAAACTTCTCTGGGCTTCAGTTTTCTCAGCTATGAGGCAGCTGGAACTAATAGCCTGAGGTCTCTATATCATATTATCATATAAACTTTTATATTTACCTTCAAAAATGTTTTATTCTACAAGTGGTATAACCACTAGTATATTGACAGCAAAGTTTCATCCATCACTAATAATATTCTACCATTGTAAGGAGTTAGAAAAGGTGGCTGGCCATTTTCATTTCTATCATTAATAGCTTATCAATAAAATGGCCACCTATGAAGTTTATTCAAAATAATTCCAATCATTTAATAAGCCTACTCATGGCAATAGTTACAGATTGAACATTTCACTCTAAATGACTTATTTCTGGGCCTCCATTTAAAATAACTACATAACTACAGAGGTCTCTTAGTGGCATATTTAAAGGGCAACTTTAACTTTCAGGATTCAAGGGACAATTCTCTAATCTGTGGGTTATCAAATTCTTCTGCTTCTCCTCTCCAGTTCCCTATATTTTAGATACTCCATTGCTTATTTCAACGAGCAAGCCAAAAAAGGCAATGACTTTAATAATGAAATAATAAACTTGCTACAGTTCTAATAAAAGAGTTGCAGGAAAGAAGGTAAAATTACAAACCACTTCTTGTAATAGCAAAGAACTACAAACAAAGTAGATAAGACAGTTAAACAAATTAATGTACATGAATGTAGTGGAATGCTATTGTGCTGTAAGAAACAATGAATACGATGAACACAGAAGCATAAAAATACTTATATGAACTACTACAAAGGGAAATAAAAAAACTAGAAAAACAACATAAATAGCAATTATAACAATGTAAACAGAAAGAACAATGAAACTATCAAACTGAAAACTGCAAAATGATAACAATCAAACTCAGCCCCAAAGAACAGATATAAGAAGATACTTCCTCAACTTTTTGCAGAGGTGGGGGACCATGTGTGTGGTACACTGCATATAACAGGACTTTTCTCACATATTAGTTAATTTCTTTCTTTCTTCCTCTTTTTTTCCTTTCTTTATTATTAGGGATAGCCTTCTGAGAGGGAAGAATAAAATTGGGAATATAGATGATGTAAAAACAAAAACCTAGCAACACTTTCTAAAAAAATTAAATTACAAGTTAATGATTCCAGAGGACAAATGCTACCTACGTTCAGAGAGCAAGGGGAATGGATTCAGGGTGCAGAATGAGACATTTTGTTTTGGATATGACCAACTTTGAAATTTGTTTTCCTGGACATTATGTGTCTATAATAGGGGTTTTGTTTTTCTTGCTTTCTCAGTGGGGGAAGAATGTGGGGAGGAGAGAAGGCAGACTTTAATTGAATGAAAAAAATTAATTCGAGGAAAAAAAATTACAGGCTAAAATAAGAATTTAGGAATATTAATGGATTTCAATTATCCATGACCTACACTGTCCCAGATAATCAAAAGTTTACACTAAGAGAAAGACAATACTCAAAAGATAGGTGCTTTATGTATTTATAGTGTACATATTAAATAAGTCAAGGAAGAATTTGGACAGGGTGTACCCACCATCCACTGAAACAGAGCAAAAAGGCAAGGCTGAGCCCCAGAAGCCAAATACTACAAGCAAATAAAACCCAAAGCTTACCTGGTTTTCCGTTTTCGAGGTGGTTTCTCCACTGTGCCAGTTAGTCTAGAGACCAAATAGATAAAGCAGTTATTAGATAGTGAAGGGGCTAGGGACAGGGTAGAGGGAAGGTACCCTGAGCCTCTTGTATCAATTCAGAATTAATCTCATTCTCTCTAAACCAATTCATAACCCCAGCCTGGAAAATCCTGAGTGCAATGGTACCACATTTACTATTCATACCAAATGAGGACTACTGCTCCCTTATGACCACTGTACCCTATAATACAATGCCTGCTCATATCACAGTGCTTAAATACTTTTATCACTTGAGCAAACTTAAAATCCCACATACTAACCTTCATGCCAGGTACCACTGTACACCGTCCCTCACAGACCAGATCAGCCCCATATATACCTATTGCCATTCACAATCATGCCTAAAGGGCCTTATGAACTTCATATTCAGTCCTTCATGACTGTGTAAAGTTGCTGTGACCTGTTCATGACATCTATAAAGCACAATGAACTTCCCATTAACAATCCTCTAGTTTTTGGTCATCTGGGCCCTTTTTTTCCCCTCCTCTTCAGTTCATTAACTTTCAGATATCCAGATAAAAAGTAAGCAAAGAAACCCAAACCCAAACCACCTATGCTCACTATGCTGACAGCAGAGTCCAATAACCCCCTAGAGTACAGTCTTCCATGCTCTCTATCTCTCACAGTCCAGGTTATATAGTCCCACTCTTCTACTCTTTACAATCCAGACCACCCGTCATCTCTGCTCTTTATAGTCCAGTGCCAGTACCCACAGTTATTCACAGTTCAGCCTATCCATATAACCAACTAACCCCCTTATATTCTGACCCCTCCATGCCCACTGACCCTAACAGCCTGGTCCCTAATTACCACTGCTTTTATTAACTAATGTCCCTCTACGCCAAATGCCCCTCAAGCTTGGTTCTCTGGGTCCAAAGCCCCTCACTCAAACTGCTTATATCCATGGCTAACCACATCTACTGTCCCTCAAAGGTTATTCGGTCACAACTTCATGCCTTCAGTCTCCTTCCTCTCACAGCTCAGGACCTCAAAGCTACTGACAAAGCTATTCTCCCACTTCTCACCCCCAACCCAACTTTCTCCATCACAACCCCCCAGCTCCTCTTACCTCACAGCCACTGCCTCATCATTTCATCACAGAATCTAAGAGATCTTTTATAGTCCAACCTGCCTACATCACTCAACAACCTCATCATCCAAATGTGAATAGCCTATATCTAATTATCTACCCACTTCCACAACAATCTCCCTCTTTTCTCACGGAATTCAACAACTGGCTTGGTCTTATTCTGTACCCCAACCTCTTCTGATAAAAAGTGCTGATGCTTCCTCATATACCCAATGCATCAAGATCATAACTCACAGGAGCTGCCTCTTCACATCAGCACAGCTGAAATGCAGAGATGGTCATACCCTTAATCTCATTATCACTTATGGATGCTCCAGCCCCAAAATCCAGAACTTTGAAATACCTAACATAACCTCCTATTTTGCCATCTCCCCCTGTACCTCACCCCTTCTAAATTTATTCTTCATCCTTACGGAAACCTTCAGTCACTCTATCCTTTCAACCTTTCCCAATCTATCACCCCTCTTCCTGCCTTACTTTTATCCCTTCAGAATCCTAATATGTAGTTAACTAATTCAACTTTGCACCTACCCTTTAACTGTTTGCCCCCTTGTCTTATTTTGTTTGGCTCATCCTTGCCCAAATTCTAATCCCAGATTACCTTCATCACACACCTCCTCCGCTTCTACTCATATGCCTCTGGAAACAGCTGGAGAAAGTCACAAAACTGTGTTAATTGGGCCTACCACAAATTTATGTCATCTCATCTCACCTTGGCCATTACAGCTACATAGCAATCCTTTTACTCTTCCCTGATTGACTCTGACTCTATTGCAGGATCCCACAATATCTATTCCAAACCTTCTCTGCTCAAGTCCCTAACACCACCATTTTCCTACTTACTCTCAGCAAAGGATTTTACAGAGAAAACTGAGACATCAATGTTGGAATTTGTTTTGTTTGACTATACATATTTGTAATAAGGATTTTGTTTTTCTTTTTCTTTTTTTCCAATGGGAGGGGGAGGTAAGATGGAGAGGAAAAAAAAGATTTTTGTTCACTGAAAAAAATTAAATTAAATTTTAAAAATCAAGGTCATTCATCATGGCCTTTCTCTTCTCCCCTACTCCACTGCTCAGATTGCTTCATCATCACCCCTATTCTTCTGTCCTTTATTCCAGTCTGTAAAAAAGAAATGGTCCTTTTCCTAGCAAAGGCCAATCCTTCTACTTTTGCCTTTGATCTTATCCCCATTAGTCTCCTGGGAAACAGAAGAAGGATGGTCCTTAAAGATCCCTCTAATTTTCAACCTCTCTTTATCCACTAACTCCTTCCCCGCTGCCTAAAGACATGCTAAGGGATCCCAGATTTAAACAAACAAAGAAAAAAAAAACTTCACTTGACCCTGTTATCCCTTCAACCTACCATTCATTCTTTTCCCTTTCCCTATGCTCCTTTTTCACAGCCTAACTCCTAGAAAAAGCTATCTATACTCTTTGCCTCCACTTACTCATGATTCTAATTATTAACTTTTCGCAATCCAACTCCAGACCCACCACTCAACTGAAATTGCTCTCTCCAAGATTAGCAACAATCTCTTAACTGCTCAACCTAATAACTTTTTAACAGTCTTCATGCTTCTTGGTCCCTCCATGGCATTTAACACTACTGGCAAACTCCATATTCTTTCTTTTTCCACTAAGTAGTATTTTATTTTTTTCCAATTACATGTAAAAATAGTTTTCAACATTCACTTCTATAAAATTTTGAGTTCCAAATTTTTCTCCCTTCTTCCTCTCCTCCCCTCCCCTCTCCAAGACAGCAAGCAATCTGATATAGATTATACATGTACAATCATATTAATCATATTTCCACATTAGTCATGTTGTGAAAGAAGAATCAGAACAAAAGGGAAAAACCACAAGAAAGAAAAAACAAAAAGTGAAAATAGTCTGTTTCAATCTGCATTCAGACGCCATAGTTCTTTCTCTGGATGTGAACAGCATTTTCCATCATGAGTCTTTTGGAAGTCTTAGATCATTGTATTGCTGAGAACAGCTAAGTCTATCACACTTGATCATCACACAATGTTGCTGTTACTATGTACAATCAAACTCTATATTCAATTATTTCTATGCAGATGGATCCCCAATCTATATACCCACTCTTCATCTTTCCTGAGCTCTAGTCCCTATCAACAACTACCTGCTGGGCATCTCTACCTGAATGTCTCAAAGGCAATCCTAACTCCACATAACCAGAGTAGAATTCATTATCTTTTCCCCTCAATCCATCCTTCTTCCTGACCTCCTTATTTCTGTCAAGGGCACCACCACACATCCAATCACCCAAGAAATATCCTCAATTCTTCCTCTCCCTCACCCCCCACCATATACAATCGGTTGCCAAATCTCATAGACCAGGGGTGGGGTGGCCCTCTGGGTCCTCAAGTGTGGCTCTCAGACTGACTCCATACTTTACAGAATAAATCCCCTTAATAAAAGGATTTGTTTTGTAAAACTTGGACTCAGTCAAAAGGCTGCACCCAAGGACCTGGAAGGCCACATGTGGCCTTGAGGCCGCAGGTTCCCCACCTCTGTCACAGACTTTATCTCCACAATATCTCTCATAACCACCTCCTTTTTTCTATTCAAATCCTCATCATGGACTACTACAATAACTCCTGAATTGGTCTTTCTGCTTACATCTCTCCCTTTCCTTAAGGAATCTGCTACACCCTTTGCCAAATGGATACTCCTAAAACTCAAGTCTGACCATGCCACTCCCCTGCTCATGAAGGTTTAGTGGCTCCGCAGTGCGTTTAGGAAAAAAAGCAAACTCCTCCATTTGGCATTTAAAACCCTTCATGACCTGACTATCCTATTTTTATAAAGTTGCCATATTATTCTCTCATGTACTCTATGTTCCAGCCAAAGTGTCCTAGTTAAAGTTCCTTATACAAAACATTCTATCTTTCACCCCAGTGCCTTTCCACAGTGCATCTCTTATATCTGAACTGCTCTCTCATCTCACGTCCATCTGTGAGTTGAGTTTTCCTCAACCCAAAGCTCAAATGCCACCTTCTACAAGAGGCCTTTCATAATTCCCTCATCTGTTAACAGTTCTTTCCCCTCCCTGTCAAAATAACTTTGCATTTACTTTTCGTATATTTTACATTTACTAATCTACATACTTATTTTAGACTAATTGTATCTATGTTGTATCCAACCTGGGGAAAAGCAAGTCAACAAAGTTATTTATTAAGCACGTATGTGCTAAGACTGTGCTAAAAGCCGAGGATACAAAGAAAGCCAAAAACAGCCGCTGCTCTCAAGGAGCTCACAGTCTAAGGGGTAAGACAACACGCAAATAACTATATATAAACACAGTATTTCCAGGTTAAATTGGGAATCATCACAGAGGGGAGACAGAACCATCAGAGGAGAGTCTGGAAAGGATTCTTATGGAAGGTGGGATTTTAGCTAAGACTTGAAGGAAGCCAGGGGAGCTAGGAAGAGAAGACGGAGAGAATTGCATGTTCAAGCGCTGCTCATTTGTATCATCAGAGCCTAGCACAGTGACTGGCATGTTGTGACCAATGTAATACATGCTTGTTGACTCGAATGGAACCTGTACCAAAGCAGAAATTCCCTCTACAACAGCAGTTCTTGACCTGGGTTCTGTGAACTTGTTTGTTTTAATATATATTTGATAATTGTATCTGTTGGTCTCCTTTCTCATCCTCAGTATCTTAATTTACGCAATTAAAAACAACATTCTGAGAAGGGGTCTACGACAACACAAAAAAAGGTCAAGAACCCCCCAGCTCTCCAACTTCCTTAACAAGTGGTCATCCAGCCTCCATTCAAAGCCCTCCAGGTGATGGAGAACTCGCTCCCCTCCGAGGCACTTCTGGACAGCTCTCCAGGTCAGAAGCCTTTCCTTACAAGCGGCTCTACCTCGGCCACTGCCCCCATCGCTCCCTTTGGGGCCAACACGAACAAGTCTGAGCCTCCTCGTCGTCCTCATCCTGCCGGGCAGCCCCTCCGAGCCTCCAGGGCGGCAGCATCCGTGTCACCCGTCCTGCCTCCTCGCACCGACCTCCCGCAGCCGCTGCCCGGTGCTGTCCCCATCCTCTCGGCTCTGCTCTGGACCTTCTCCAGCTCGTCATCATCCTTCCCAAAATGTGCAGCCCAGACTGGAGCACAATACTCCATCGGGGACCTGACCGGGGTAGCCGGGGGGGCAGCGCGCCCTCCCGGCCGCTGCCTGCTGCCGCCCCCCGGCCACGGCCCCCGATGCCGCCGCCCCCCGGCCCTGGCGCCCTCCCGGCCGCTGCCCCTCACGCCCCCCTCGGCCTCGACCTTCCTCCCCGCGGCTGATCGCCGCCCCGGTCCTTCTCGCCCCACCGCCCGGGCCCCCAGCTCACCTGGAGGGCAGGCGGGTCCGCGGCTGCTGCTGGCGGCCTCCTCTGACCATCCGTCCCCGGCCCCGGCTCCGCCGCGGGAGCTGCTCCGGCGGCCGCTGCGCTCACGAGGCTGAGGCGGCGGCGGCGGCGGAGGCGGCGACGGAGGCAGCGGCGGCAGCAGCAGCGGCGGCGGCGGCGGCGGCGGTAGCTGCCGAGGGGTGGGAGATAGCACCCCCCACGCCTCAACCTAACTTGTCGTAGATCCGCCCCCTCCGCCTATTCTTGTCGCCCCCCATTGGCTGGGTGGCTAGAGTGGCAGCCCACTCGCTTGCTGAGTGGCTCGCGCCACCGTCCCTCTGGATTTGCCTGTCCAGACGGTTCGGTTGAGGTTGCAGGTGACGGCAAAGGCGCCTTAGCTACCGCTAAGCGAGTCGGGGCGAGGAGAGAGTTAAAGCGCCATCGTGCGCCCCAGAGAGGAACTGCAAGGAGCGTACCAAGCACCTGCACGCAACTCCCTCCCCCAAGCCCACATCCCCTAACTTCCTGCACCTCCCCTATGCACCACAGAGGTGGTGCACCCTAGTGAAGTTCTCATTCAAGCCTCCTGCTGCCCTCCAGCGAGGGGGGATGGGACTAGGGCTGGGCCTGGGGGGGTAAGTAGCGTAGGGGTAAAAGAGGGAGAACGGGAAATCAGGTCCAATCCTGACCAGAGTTGAGCAGAGCCTGGCAAATAGTAGGTGCTTAATTGTTGATTGATAGGAGTCGTGTGACCCTGGGCAAGTAGCTTCCCCAATCAAAATTCTTAAGTTCCTAAGACATCTTCATTTTACAGATGAAGAGACGTGCCCAGGTTAGTGGACCTGCCCAAGGTCACACAATGTGTGACTATGGCAGGCAGTGAACTTCAACCCACCTCTCCTGACTGGCTTGGTGTTTTGTTTTGTTTGGGTTTTTTTTTGCCATTCTGTTGAGTTCTGTGGGCATCAGTCTCTTTCCTTGTAAAACAGGATAAAATTTGCATTAATAGTAAGATAACATGTATAGTGTTTTGAGGTTTGCAAAGCAATTTACATTTTTAATGTGCCTTTATGTGCCTCAGGAGGGTTGTGAGGAAGTAAATTTGTAAAGTGTAGAACTTCAGGGAAAGGGCAGCAATTGTGCTTATCTAAGGTGCTATTATGAAAACCTCTTCCCATCCCTCCTTTCAGTTTGGTGCTCGATTTTGTATCATCCTATGACCCATTTAGCCTTATACTAAAAGCCCACGTGGAAATGCTATCCATTGAAAGACTCAAGGATCACCACACAAAACACAGAAAGGCGGACTAAAGCACCTAAATCTCATGGTGTAACATTTGTTAAACCCATTCAGATTAAATAATTAGGTACAGAAGTCTGACTTCACCCGACGTACCCAAGCTTTTTCCTACATATCCTTTGGGATGAAGTGTTCTGTAGTATAGATGTGTAGCCAAGACACCAACTAGTCTCAACCAACAGTTCAACTCAGACCAATAGTTCAACAACTATTTCAACAGCCTCCTGTCCAGTTTTTTCCCCCACTCCATTCCTTCCATAACCTCCTTCATAATCTCCCTGTGGTGAAGAGATATAACCTCCTCACTCACTCAAAAAGGCTTAGTGATTCCTTATTATCTAATGAACAGCTCCTTAGCCTTGCATTCAAGGCTATCTACACTGCGGCTCCACCCTACCTCCAGTCTTATTCAGTGATTCACTTTGACACCTATAGTTCAACCCAAGACGACTCATCATAACTTCATGCATTTTTGTAAGCTGCCCACCTAACTGAAACACCCTCTCTCCACACCTCTACCTGTTAAAATCCTAGTCGTCCTTCAAAGGCTCAGCTCAACTACCACCTCCTTCGTGAAGCCACCACTGACCCCACAGACTACCCCTACCCACCACTGAAAGTGATCCCCAAATGTTCCTTCTTTGGATTTTGAACAATCCTCAAATTTCCCTCCCCATTGTATCTATCCTATGTGCAATGTCTTACTATCTATGAATTAAAATTTTCTTGAGGGAAAGACCTGTGTACATACAGTTCTTCCATTTTAATATTCCCAACATTAAGCAAGCACAGGGCATTGCATGAGATAGGCAGCACTTAAGAAACACATCGATTGAGTAGGTACTTGATTACTTTTGGACTGAACTAGACTGCTAAAGGGACTGCTAGATTTCTAAAACAGCTGCAGGATTTTGCTAAAATGGAGTTGTTAGTTATCCGTGAGAATAAATTCCATTCCCTCATTCAAAAAGCTGAAGCTCAGAAGAAAAGTCCAGTGTACCTTAATATTTTTAAGTGTCAGGCACTGTCCTACCAGAAAGTCAGATAAAAGCAAGAACTGAATTCCTATTTCTCAGCCAGGTTTTCTAATACTTCTAGTACTGCTCTAATCTGAAACAGTGAACCAGCATAGTATTGTGGAAAGAGCACTGGGGATTTGGAGTCAGGGAACTTATATTCAAATCCTAGCTATACAACTTAACTACCTCGGTGACCTTAGACAACTAATCTGTCAAATGAAGGGGTTGCACTAGATATCTAGGTCTTCTTTCAGCTCTAAATCCTATGGTCCCATAGCCTTAAAGCATCTAGCAACTGCTTGAACTGATATTTTTCCTGTAAAATGCAGATTCAAACCAAGTCCTCTGGTTACTAAACATACTCAAACAGTCCCTGAGAAACCCCAAACTGTACTGTTGTTACACATAAGAAATCCAGAATGAATAAGGCAGCATGGCATGGTGGTAAGGAGTGGATTCACAGGATATGGATTTAACTTCCAACTCTCACACTTTTTAGCCTTATGGCCTTGAACAAGTCATGTCCCCTTTCAAAGCTTCAAGTTTCCTCATCTGTAAAACAGCAATAAAGTACAAAAAGGGGGTGATGGGACGGGAAGGGCAAAGAACTTGGAATTAGAAAGCTGGGGTTCAAATCTCTGCTCTCTCTAGGAAGGCAGTTTCATCTGTCCAATAGGAGAACAACTTCTATTACCTACTTCAAAGGGTAAATGTGAGTAAAGCACTTTATAAAACATGTTCACAATTATGACTATTATTAACCATCTGACAGGGCTAAGAGGATTAGAAAAAGAATGTTACACAAAGTACTTTGTAATAACCCCAAGCTAAGCCTGAAGGTCTGAGGAAGCAAAGCTTTGTAAAGCCCCATCTAACTGGATTAAGCAAGTGGCACATGGTTAAGAGTTAGACCATCCAAATAATATACAACAGGTTCAATTCTGCTCACTATAAAACACAAAAGGGCTCAACCCTGATTCAGGAGTTCTGGGTTCAAGTTCCAGCTGCCATGCTTTACTAGTCATGACAAGTCATTTCATTTCACAATGTTTTTTCATTTGTAAAATGAGAGGATTGGATTAGATGACCTAATACCTCTACTGGTTTATAATTCTAGGATTCTAGGATGGTAAGAATGAAAATAGGTTTCATTTTTCAACTGTCAGAAGTATTTTCTTCATATATACCTACTAAAAAAATCATACAATGGATAAAATACTTACTTGACAAACTTCCTGTAAGCTTTTTATTTTTCATTTACAAAGGGCATAATAATAGCACCTTTCATCTGAAGAGCTGAAGGTGTTTTTACAAATGTCAACATTTTAAAACAATCACACAAAGAACAAGGAGTCTTGCAATCAGTCTCTGATTCAAAGTGCACCATTCTCCGGAAGCTGTCATATAGCAGTCCGACCAATGATGTTTTCAGGAAACGAATACTGTTTCTGTGTTATAAATCAAATTGGAAAAAAGGCATAGTCCCAAATCCTTTCACAATATAAGCATCAGTTTTAAAAAGAGGACAAGAAAAGAAAATCGGCCCAGCCTCAAAAAAGGGAGAATTCGAAGGACAGTCGGCACCACCCAAATACAACTTACAAAAGCAGCCAACACTATTTCAGAAACACCATAGTCTACCTCAAATGCCTGAGGTAGATGCTGATGTCTTCTATCACTTCTAGACATGCAGGTACAAAGGAGATGATGCAGGCTATATACTACCTGTAATTGTAGACCCAGGCCCCTTATCACTGCACCCAGTTTAATCCACTTACAGTAGTAGGATTTTCCTGTGAAAAGCATCAAGCAATAAAAGGTTAAAATATATAATAGGATGTCAGCAAAAGAGAGTCGATGGCAATTAGAAGCAGACAGTGCTCACTACAGCCTAGGATATTTTATTAGAAACCAAGTATGTTGAAAAAAGTAAAAAATAAGTCACCCCCATTAATACAACACAAAAGATTTCACATACAGCCTACAAAGGGAGTAACAGATCCTCCTGCCTACAAACATATCAAGACTGTCAATTAGCTCCCACACCAAAAGACATTTATTGTTCGATATAGTACATAGCCCTTTTTCATGAGATGGAGCTGAAATATTCCTTCTTAAGTTTACAAAAGTCTAATACATTCACTTTTCTTTGCAACTTCGTAAATCTAAACGTTCCTTTTTCTTTGAGTCAAAAAGCTATTACACTTTCGTTGACAAGAAATTAGGCATGTCCACAATTGAGCAATGGATGCAGGATTATCATTAGCATATGCCTTACCAGTGACATACAAGTGCAGTCTCATAAAAGAAATAGTCACATTGGAGAGAGAATTTAAACAATGACATTGATACAGGAATAGAAGTGTCAGAGGGTAGGGCAGGGTACTAGGTATAACTAGTTTTATTGGTACAACTTAAAAGCAGTAGAGGCTGAACAATTCAATACAATTTATAACGGAAAAAATACTGTAATAAGGAGGTGTTCAAAACAAACAAGAGTTATTTGCATCATATATCAAAAGATCATCGATTTCCAGTGTTCCACAATTAGTAAAATACACAACTACGGACAGTCCCATAAGACAAAAATACCTTTTTTCCCCCTGAATTCAACTGGGGTCAAGTCAGTAATTCAAAGCTACTGACCTGACATTAGTTCAAGTGTGTGCAGAAAAGTGTCCAAGCCACTTCTTTTTCTGATAATAGCTACATAATCAAAAGTTACACAAAGGAAACTGTTAGGGAAGGGGTGAAGTGAAGGAGGAAGAAAAACGGAATCTCCAACTATTGAA